GGCATTTGTTAAAGGACAGGAAAGTGCAACCGTAACACTCTATAATCGGACAGGGCTGCATTCATGTAAATTCTAGAGAATGAGTATCTTGTGATTATTAATTTGCTTGCTTAGCCTTACAGGTCACGATTTTAATTACCCAGAGTCACTGCAGAGCGACATGGGGGGCATATACATGTAATAAATAGCAATAGCACTTAGACTTGTATACCGCTTTATAGTGCTTTTGCAGCCCTCTCTAAGCGGTTTATAGAGTTAGGCTATGGCCCCCAATAATCTGAGTCCTCATTTTATCCACCTTGGAAGGCTGGAAGGCTGAGTCAACCTTGAGCCTGGTGAGATTTGAACTGCTGAATTGCAACTAGCAGTCAGCTGAAGTAGCCTGCAGTACTGCACACTAACCACTGCACCACCTCGGCTCAGTAAATAAATTAGCATGAAATGGAGAGTTGACACAGTTGATTTATTTCTTAAATTTATATGCCATCCATCTCCACTGTTCAAAGTGACTGGGCACCTTACAGTACAATAAAAAGCATAAAAACCAAAATATTAAAATTAACAGAACTTAGATAAAGCTTAGAACCAGATACACAAGTGGGGTCTTTTTCCATAATTCCACCCATCACTTCCAATGTCAAGCAAGTTTTGAGGCTCTTCCAGCAGACCAAGAGGATGGTGATGGATCTCACCTCTGGCAGCAAGGCATTCCAAAGGGCAGGGGCCACAGCAGAAAAGACCCTTCTCTTAAACCACACCTGTCCAAATTCCTTGACTGATGAGGTTTGCAGCCTGCTCCTTGATTACTTTAAGTAGCTGGTAAAAGTGCATTTTCAGAGGTATTACTCTTAACATTGCCACTGGTAGTTGGAATGATGCAACCTAGAGCCCAATGCATTTGGAATTGGGAAACCGTAACTTTATGGCCTCAATTTAAGTAGAAATCATTACCGTATTTTTTGGTGTATAAGACGCACTCCCTCCTCCAAAAGTGTGTGGAAATGTCTGTGCGTCCTTTGGAGCGAATGTTGCCAAAGCCCTGCCACCGGCTGGCCCCCACCCTTTGGCTTCTGACTCCCAGCAATTTGCTTCCTTATGACCCCCGCAACCTGCAACAGCTAATAGGTGGTATTCCGGGAGGCCGATCCAACAGCCAATCAGCTGCTCGTGCTAAATCAGGCTGTGCTGAACCTGACCAGACTGTTTGCTGCTTGCTGCAAGGAGGAAAATTGCTGGGAGTCAGAGGCAGATTTTTTTCCCCTTGTTTTCCTCCCCAAAAGCTAGGTGTGTCTTATAGTTCCGAGCTTTTTCATAATCTGAAAAATACGGTAAATATGGAATATATTGAGGGAACTGATCTCTGTTCTTGCATTCTACAATCTATTTACTTCTCTTTTCGTAGGAAAATTCACTCCGCTGCTTTTTCAGACCAGAGCAATTAACTAAAGAAAATATGTGCCACTGTGAGAAGTGTAACAAGGAAACATCCTGTACGCGGGTAAGCTGTTTTGGGTGGCGGGGTAGGAGAAATTATTGTTTTGGGAATTTCATGGTCTTTATATTTTGGGATTAAATTATTTGTTTCTTTATGTTGGGTGTAGTTTCTTTATGTTTTTTGCTGGTCCTTGAACCCCAGTTATGATCCTTAAAGCCCTCTTCAGACATAATTGGGCAAAATTGGTATGTTTCCAACCAGGAAGAAGACACAGCCTTTCCCCCATGGTTTTCCCAGTGTCTGTCAAGACTGTCAATTCAGACAGAATATTTTTTGTTGATTTTGCAGAGGAAGAAAATAATGCATTTGCCACGCATGTTGACCCTGCATCTCGTTCGTTTCCGTTCCCAAGGCGGCAACAGAACTAAGAAAGTCACGCATCGCTTGGCTTTTCCATCAGAGCTAGATTTCAGCCAGATCTTGCCCCCGGAACAGTACCAACCAGATTCTAAAAAGAAGGTAGGGTATTTGCATGCATTCCCTCTGGCATTAAGGCTACCTGCAATTTGGCAGTTGAATCTCACCAGGCTCAAGGTTGACTCCGCCTTCCATCCTTACGAAGTTGGTAAAATGAGGACCTAGATTGCTGGGGGCAATATACTTGTATTATTTTTATTTATTGTGGATAAAACTTCGTACTCGAGTCTTGAAGATTCAGCAGCATACAAATTAGATAGATAGGCAGGTTATAGATAAAAACATTAGTTCTTTTTTTAAAAAAAATTAATAGTTTTGTAGAATATAAAGGGTAAATAAACGTACGTTTTAGGTGAAATGGAGAATCTGATTGGCTTTACCCAATTATGAGGATGTTCCTGGTTGAGTCTGCATCTAGTCAGCAAATCAGAATTTATTGAGAGACTAAACCCACTTCCTTAAGGCCTTTGTGGAATTATAAATGTAGTTTGATTTTCACCTTTTGTCTTTGTATAAAACGTTATATGAGTCTGGCTTCTGGGAGACAAAAGCTGGTTTCCATTTATTCAGGATGCTTAATATGAGTTTACAAAATGCTCTAGAGCAGCAGTTGTCAACCTGTGGGTCAGGACCCCTTTGGGGGGTCGAACAACCCTTTTACAGGGGTCGTCTAAGACCATCGGAAAACACATATTTTTGATGGTCTTAGGAACTGAGATACCAATTTGATGGTTGTGGGTCACCACAACATGAGGAACTGTATTAAAGGGTCGTGGCATTGGGAAGGTTGAGAACCACTGCTCTAGAGGTTCTTATTATGCAGTTCTTTCCTCTTGGAGAAGGAAATGGTATCCAAGAAGCCAGCCCAAGACTGAAGGAGAGGGGCCATGCCAGCCCCATTTTCAAATGGCTAATAGACATCAGTCTGGGGATAATCCTGTGTGAACCCTCTTGACTGTACCAATAATAGAAGAGTTGACTAAATGCATTAGATGTTATCTACCTTGAAACTGACATGGTTTATTTGAGAAATACTAACTTTAAAGCCAGAAAAGATCAGGATGAGGTGAAGGAAACATCACAGGGACAAAGTAGGATCTATTTGTAGCATAGTTAGATGCAAGTGGAGGAAGTGCCTTTTTTCCCCTCCCAGCTTGCTCTGCCAAGCAGCTAGCTGAAAACTCCCAATCATCTGACCTGCTTCCTGCATCAGGATCCTTCCCTTCTCTCTCCCCTAAAATAAACAATTGCCTTGTTGGTAAAATACCTTAATTGCTGTATGGAAAGCAAGCCTGCAAAAATGGTACTTGTTAGGGGAAAGAGTCGAAACAAAGGAGCTCATGTTGTATGAGCCTTGGTGGTGCAGTGGTTAGAATGCAGTACTGCAGGCTACTTCTGCTGACTGCCGGCTGCCTGCAATTTGGCAGTTCGAATCCCACCAGGCTCAAGGTTGACTCAGCCTTCCATCCTTCCGAGGGAGGTAAAATGAGGATCCAAATTGTTGGGGGCAATAGGCTGACTCTAAACCGCTTATAGGGGGCTGTAAAGCAGTATATAAGTCTAAGTGCTATTTCTATTGCTATTCTTTGGTGTGAAAGACACTGGAAGCAAGGATAGTTGGTTGTGCACATTTACACTGAGTATTTGCAAAAGATTACAGATAGCAGCTTTATAAGGTTAGCAAAGGAACTTTAATATAGCCTGACATTACTTAAAAGTAGATTTTTAAAAACAGACTTTATGCACAACCTGGGGGCTCTTCTGGACTCATGTCTCCGGCTTGTGGCAGTTATGACTGCCTTTTGCCCAACTTTGTATTGTGTACCAATTGGGCCCATTCTTGGATCCAGGGACCCTATTCAATTGTTAACTTCCATGTTGTGGAACCTTATCCTTTGACAGTAAAGTGGTCCAGGAGTGATGTGACAATGATAGTCATTCCCTGTTATAAGAAGAAAGTTTTGCGTCTGCTTTGTTTTTTGAAGTATTGCTGTGTACCTCTTTCCAGAATGATGGGTTGTATGATCTCTTTGCGGTGATTGCCCACTCGGGACCAGCTGACTTTGGTCATTACTGTGCCTATATCTGGAGTCTCACCGAAAACAAGTGGTATTGCTTCAACGATTCCAGTGTTTGTAAGGTGAGGAAGCCAGACAGTCCTGGAGACAGTCTTACACAATCATGATCTCTTCCAATGTTGCTAGATGTATTTTGACTCGAATCTTGTGCCCTTGTGACCTCTAGGCTGGAATACTGCAATGTGTTCTACATGGGGCTGCCCTTGAAGAGTTTTCGGCGACTTCAGCTGGTCCAGAATGCAGCCGCGCGAGCGATCGTGGGTTCACCTCATTTCACCCA